CATTAAGATGGAACAAAACAAGTTATTTCAACAGTGTATGCTAAACCTATAGATATGAATATGTTTACACTGCCAAACAGTCATCACCCTAGGCTTGTAATTAACGCTACAGACATTATGACTAGCACGTATGAACTTAACCTAGTTGCACAAAGAGAAAAAACTATTTTTTGAGGACAAAGCATTTGAAATTAAACAGAATTGATAGAAAATAATGAGTAGAGGTACTCTTTGGCTCAGGAATAAAAAACATTTAATGACCGAATAAAATAAAATAATTTCCTTTTTCAGAGACAGTGTAAAACATTACCTACTAGACTGAGAAAATAATTTGTTTCTCTTCCTTAGTGGATTTTAAATGACCACTGTTGTGAGACCCTCTACCTGGGGCAATGAAAAACACAAAATGAACCAGTGAGGGAGGCAGCCCTCAAGGAGGTAAGATTGTAGCAGCCATTTGCCTGTTTCCAAATTTTGCTACCTTTTACTTTAAAAAAATTTTTTTTTATTTGATAGTTTACTTAATTGATTGTATGGAGAACCAATTAAAATACTGACTTTATTGTATATTTATTATGATTAACATAAAAACAGATACTGTTTTTGAAAACCAAATAATTTATATAATAATAAATTTTCAGCGGTGCCCGGGTGGCTCAGTCAGTTAAGCACCCGACTCTTGACTTCAGCTCAGGTCATGATCTCAGGGTCCTGGGATCAAATCCTACATCGGGCTCTATGCTTAGTGGGAGTCTGCTTGAAGATTCTCTCTCCCACTGTCCCTCTGCTCCTCCCCCCCACTTGCACACACTCTCTCTCTAAAGTAAATAAATCTTTAATAATTATAATAATAATAAATGTTCATTCTTATAGACCACATAAAGACAATCGGTGCTCTCAATAATGTTCTAAACCTGGGGGTCATAAAGTGTGCTCTCAGGTAAGTAGCATGTGCATCACCTTCGAACTCGTTAAAAATGCAAATTCTCAGGCCCCACCCACCTCTACTAAATCAGAACCTCTGAGAACGGGGCCTAAAAACCTGTGCTTTAGTAAGCCCTCCAGAGGATACTGACGTACACCAAAGTTTGAGAACCACAGCTCTAACCTAGTCTATGGTGTTTTATAAAATGAAATCTTCATACCACTAATTCAACCTTATATACTTTTCACAGGCAATGTTTGCAAGGAGACTCGGAAGCAGGTAAAGTGGATCTTTCTGTGACTTCCAAGAAGCCCGATACCTGATTCCACTTTGCTGCCTCCTAACCAATCATTTTGCTGAGATTTCAGATTTTTATCTATTTTCACTTTAACATCTCTTAAGACAATAGAACTGGGGTACGCTTCCTTGAGCTGAGTTAGCAGTTCCCAGCTAGAAACATGTTTTCTTTGAAATCTTCACTCTATTTAACCTTCAGCTTAACAGTGTCACTAATTACTACAACTATAAATCCAAGCTGAGTATTTTTCAAGAAAAGTAATACACTTACTAGCTATTTCAGGCCAGAAGTACTGATGTGTTCTTTATAAACACCTGCATTTTTAAAAACTAGTTAGAATAATATACTGCTTTAATTTAGGCATTGAAAAATAGAAAACAGTTCTACAAATACAAATGACTTTTCCTAAAATTCTTTTATAACCATCACCCTCCACACAGAAGCCTTTAGATGAAGGCCAAAGACCTATCAAAATATACAAATAATTTTTAACCTATTAAAAATTGTTAAATCTCTACATCACTGTGATTCAAAGCCTTATTTCAGAGTCACTAAATACAATAATTATTTCAATTTACAAAAGTGCATAGATTTGTTCTTTTTCTCTTCTTAATGGTTTCTTTAGATATTTAATTTACAGACTCTCCCTTTTGCATTTGAAGCTGTGCATCTGACAAGAATATTTCATATTGTCTCAAGGCTTCTCAGAGGTTGCCAGAAGCCTGAACTTCCATTTTTTAGGTCCCCAGTATGTATGTAAATAGTAGTGATAGATAAGCTAAAGGTGGTTACAAAAACTGGGATATATCCTTAAAGTAAAAACTAGCACATTTGTTGCGTTAAAAAATACCGTATCAGCTCATTTGCACATGATTTAACTTGAGATGCTTCACAAATGTGAGGCCCTGGACCAGACTGTTATCTTCACCTCTGCCTCAACCACCGTCACAGGTTCTCGGTTGTCTATAACTTGTGTTACACTAAATCGGAATACCAATCTGGAGGAAAAAATTGTTCCCTGGTCTTAATGTTCCTGGGTTAGAGAAAGAAGATAGGAAGGAAAGGCTAGAGGGGGCAATGGTGGACAAGCTCTCTGTCTCATCCTTACCTATCTGCTGGGCAAGTCAAGAGAAAGGCATTATAGGCGACCTATCAATCTGCTACTATACCAGCCTAAATTTCTCATGTGCCTAGATGGGAATTTCTGAAATAGGGCTATGAGATTTAACTATCTCATAGGGAAAGATGGCATAACCCTAAAGTATCTGTACTTTCAGATGGATGGCTGGAAGTAGCAGTCACCCAGGAAGGTAGCAGTTCTTCCCAAAGCATCAGGAAACTCGACTGTGCCTCTGTCACATCTAGCTAAAGAAAATGCCAAAACATAGTCGTAAAAATACTAAGGATCTTATTCTGTAAAAAAGGTTTTCTATTTTGTTTTTGTTTTTGTACAGGGAAAATAGAAGAAGAAAGAAGTGAATGCCATTTCTGAACTAAACTACAGATCTTGAAACATTCAGAATGTATGGATTCATTAATCTTTTTTTTTGATGATTGAAATGATGAATGTATGATATGGATGACATATCATATGGATAACAGAGCAGGCTCTCTTGAAAAGAGTGTAAAAAAATAAATCAAGGTTCTTAAAATTCCTGAAAGGCAAAAAGGGAGGGGCACCAATTAAAAAAATAAATAAACCAATCTAGTACATGTCACTTGGTCAAAGAATTTTACCATCTTGAGATTTTTGTAGGCTTTCAGAAGGAGTAATAGATTCAGACACTTCTGTAACCTATCATGTAGATCAAGAAGGATATACAACTTCCCCAGCTTTTTAAAATTCCAAACTAACTCTTTCAGGGCATTGGGATCTAATCAAAGGTCTTGCTCTACAATATCCAAATGCCCTCATAAAGTTAATAAATGGCCAAAATGTTTAATTCCTGTATCATTTATTTGGGTCTTTCAATTCCCATGGACAAAAATTTCCACTCAAGATGCTTCAAAGCAAAATACTGCTTCATATTTGAAAACTGAAAAACAAGGTAAGATCTTGTTTCAGCCACAGCTGGATTTCGAACTCAAACATCCCCATCTGGGTTTAACTTTTCTCCAACTCCCAGGCATGCCTCCCTGAGTATTAGCTTCATTCTCAAACTTCATAGGCTGACACAAGAATTTCCAAGCTCACACGTCATTCTGCAAAGTCCCATAGAAGAGAGTCCACTTCCCTAAGTGCGGGTAGGAGGGGGTGGCCAAAAAGTCCTAGAACGGTGCCTTTTTGTCTCTGATTGGCCAGGCTTCGTCACACACTTCTCTGTAAACTAATCCCAGCCACCAGAAGGACACAAGGTGAGACCTGAGTCTTGGGTCACCCAGTGAGTCAGAGTAGCTGTTGACCTGAAGCAAATGGGCTAAAGGGTGAGGCAGTGTGGTTGGAGCCTCCAAAATAAACAGGCGTACTGCTTCCATAAACAGGTGTGAGTAGCTGGGACAAAAGACCACAGATGCCACTACAAGTTATCATTAGAAGACCCCACCTCCCCCACTTACTAAACTCTCACATATGCTATGTTAGTGGATCAAAATAATTTAAAAAAAATCATTCGATTGAGGCTTCTAATCAAACTGAAGTTTCGAAGGAGTGCAACCTCACACCTTGTATCCAAAATGTCGCCTCAATTGTTGGTCTTCCGCTTGTCTTCAGGAACTGGAACACATGGCCTTGCAGAAAGCTGGCAAACAGAGGCAACTCGGGTTTACAACCTGCCAGGTTGTGTCACCACCAGCAGGAGCAAGACCAAAGGGGATGATGCACCCACTTCCTAGGCGGCGCGACCAATCTCATCCTTGGCGGCCTCCACCCTCTCCCAGCAGCGGCCGTCGTAAGGCGCCGGCCGGGACCGGACACCCGGGGTCACCACGCCGAGGCCGGGGCTGGCGCGAGCCAGGCGGATGGACGCGCCTCCAGCCGCCGGCTCCCGCCCCCGTCCCCACCCCTTCCCCGGGCGGGCGCGCGCGCGGGCCGGGAGCGGGGAGGCGGCGGCGGCGGCGCGGCCGGGCGGGTCCCGGGGACGCGGTGCGCGTCGGAGCGAGCGCACGAGTCCCCGGCGCGCCCGCCGCGCTCGCCCCGCAGCCGCTGCCAGCCCTGCGCCGCCCGCGCTCCGGACCAGCCCCAGTCGCCCACCGGCGGCGTCCGCGGGGTCCCCGGGAGGGCGAGGAAAGGGCCGTCCGCGTCGCCCCCGCCCGGCTCCCGGCACCGAGTCCCCTCCAAACGGCGCCCGGACCTCGGGGCTGCCCCCGGGGAGTCGCTGAGGCCGAGCACCCCGGGAAGGGGAAGGAGGATCCCGCGGACGGCTGCAGCCCGAGGTAATCACCGTGGATGACGGACGGGGCCGGTCCTCGCCCAGGAACCCGACCCCGGAGACTCGGAATGCGGACTCCCGAGGTGGCACTCTCGATCAGGACAAGTTTCTCGCGGTTTGAAGGGGTCCTGAAACTGTCACTAGTTATTATTTAATTAGCCTTTGCTCTTATGTTTTAAATAAGTTTATTTAGACAATGAAAAAAAAAATAGCCTCCCGGATGACTGTAGGTTTATAAATATAATCCCGAAACTTTTGCATGGTGTGGTTATTTGCTTATGCATACTTATTAACCTGTTAACTCTGCAGCTCGTCAGAAAATTGACATTTAAAATATTCTTTGAGGTACATTACAAGTTCGCTGTTGCGTTCAGGCATCGTGTTATTTATCAGCTTAGTTAGCATCTGTCTTCCCGAAGTGGTACCAAAGCCTGTCCCTTGGCGACGGGTCTTGCATGTGACACTCTTGCCCTCTAGTGCCTCACCAGCTTGGTAGCAGTTTGATGGCTAATATTAATAAGATGTTACATAACACAAGGGTACTGGGCCATAACTGGAAATGCTACCACTTGTGAAGCCAAAAAGCCTAAGCCGGTGGTAGTGGATGCTGCTGTTTCAGTTTCTTTTCTATCTGTTGAAACTTTCTGAAGCCTTGTCGGCGCTTTCAACTTTAATTCCAGGTAAGTGCATTTGTTTATTTACACTATCCATTAATGCTCACTCATAAATGTAAGAAGGGCTTCTAGTAAGAGATAGCAACTTTGTTTTCAATTAATCTAAAAATTTCAGGATTGAACAAGTGCCTCATTTGATTCTTGTAGAAGAAATAGAGCATTTTAATTAAATTAAGTGAGACACAGAAATATCATTCTCGGGTAATTTTAAAGCTTCTCTTAAGTAAAATTGAAGTATTAAGGAGATGATCCCTTATAACTGCTTAGATCTCCACCAACAAGTTGTAATTATTCTGCAGCAGATTTGTTAAACAGAACACATGTGTATTGCTTGATGGACTAGAAATATGTAAGCAACATTAGAGATGTAAACTATAACTACCTGTCTATCTATACAGTAATGATCCTCAACAAATCTATTTGATGCAATTCATCTCATAAACATTGTTTAAAATTGCACAGTTAATAAAATTACATGCAACTGGAAAGAAATAATCAGGCTATGTATTGAATATAGAAGCTTTAAAAGAAAATACATGTGTCTTCCATTTAATATGTCTACTTTTTTTTCCTCAAAAGAACCAAGTGAACATTGTTTAAAAGGTTTACCTAGATCATCTTCCAACTAGTTCTTCTAATATCTGGAAACTATTTAAGCTTCAGACTCATTTAAAGTTGAAATTTAATTTATATTCTTTATAAACACATTGAAGTACAGCAACATATGTAATCTGGGAAGAGTTTTAAGGAAATCACTCCTAAGTAATATAAACAGCTACATCTTCATATTAGATTAAAATAGAAATCAAATATTCAGATACATGTGAAACTGATCTCCAACCCACTTTTTCTTTGTCCTTAGAAAATATCATATGATCAACTATTGAACAATGCTATTCACCACAGAGCAGAATGATATGGAGGACAAACCCTCAAACATCTGATAGCCGGCTGAAGGGCATTTTTCCCTTTTTCTTCAACTATAGCTTCCTATTAATACTGTATTTGAGAAGGAGATTTCAAAAATAAATTTGAAAGAGACTCTTTTGAAAAATAGTACTGAACATATCAAGAGGTTTGCCCTAACAGAAGCTCTTTCTTTCTTTCTCCAGTTCACACAGTATCTACCTTCTCTCATATTTTTATTGTTTTTCTTTATGGTCCTAATGGTAAAACAGAGGCTTCTCTCTTTGTATAAGGAAATATTACTACTAAACTGGTCACATGAGTTAATTTCTTCATAGTTTTTAGAATGAAAGATTCTTAGGTTACTAAAATGTTTTAGATAAAACTTTTTCTAGAGAGATTTGTTATAGTTTAGTTCAGTTGAGTTATGGTATACCTTCTCTTTCAGTACATTTTCTTGAGGAAAGTATTATTTCTGAAGATTATAGCAAGTATTAGAGTAATTTGTGGTATAACTGAAAGGTTTGTTGGGAAAAAAAAAATAGAGTAGAAGAGATAACCAGGCATTGAGTTTCATTTTTCTGGACCATATAGAATATATATTCACACATACTCAGTTCAACACTGAAGAAGTTATTATAACCTCAGATCTAAATATTCAGTGATCAACTTGCTGTTTCAGAATTTTAAAACCATAAAGAAATTACAATTTTTTCTTTCAATTCAGGGAATCTTGTATGACTTCCTTGAAACCTGATTGAGTCTCAATTGTTGTTTAGTGATTAGTGCCTATTTTTAAACTTAAATATGTATTTGTTGAGGTATAAAATATATTCAAAGAAAACTATATTTAAATACTTTGTGATTTGTATGCACTATAAAAACAGAGAAATAGAACTGGTGATAAAAACACTATTCTCAACTAAATGAATGTCTTGGATTTATAATTGCTTAACAGTTTAGACGCTAGGGAAAAACCGTGGAAGTTTGCTTTTCCTGAGGTGTGGCTATTGAAGATAAGCATTCCCACTGACATGCATGAACTCTAAACACCCGTCCAGTTTAGAGGATGCTGCCAGACCACAAAAGTAACAGCTTACATTATAATGATAATTAGTCTGAACAATGCTCGAAATTGTTTTATAACTGAATTTTTTCTTGGAGTACCCAATAATTGGTTGTGGGAAACCAATTGGGTTTTTTGTGTTTGTTTTTAATAAAAACTATCCTTGGGTTCTGGGATATCACAGTGACCTTCATGTTACTCTAAACACTCTTCATCAATTTTCTGTAAGTTGTGTAACTAGAGAAAAATCCAGGCTTTTCTACAATTAATGTGTATAACAAATTATCTCACAAAAACTCCTACAAATTACTGAGGGCTGTAACTCTTGATTACTATTACCAAACATGAGCTTAAAAATCAAGTGTTAAAGTCCCATACTAAACATTTTAGCATCTCAGTGAAGGGTTATCCATTTTACATACACTTTCATTTTTAATTCTTTTCTTTGGTTACGATGTTTGAGAATAACATGAAGCTAGATATGAACTCTAGGCCTGGTTCTGCCATGAGAGACATACTCTTGGACAACTCCCTTGCTAGCTCTGGGCCTTGGTCCCTTACCTGGAAAATGACGATCCCAGAGATCCTTTCTATCTTCTTTGTTGTTCAACACTGTAGAAGTTGCTCTGAAAGGACAAATAGACATGAAAAAAATTAAAGAATAATGCAAAAGGTGATTAGTACGGTTGTCTAGATATTTAGTAATAGATACGAAAGTTTTTAAAACAACAGTTAACCGTCATAGAATGGTTACTTTGTCCAGGCACTGTTCTAAGCCCTAATATATATATTAATTTTTAGCTCAACATAATCTTCTAAAAGATTATCTGAGGTAGATGCTCTAAGTATTTCCTTTTCACAAATGAGGAAATTGGGGCCCTGAGAGGTTACTTAGCTTTCTAAGGTCACACGCCTGCACGTGGTAAAGATGGGATTCAGTTTGAGTCTGGTTCCAGGGCACACGCCCTGAACCACCAGATTACATTGTCTCTCTATAGGTTTTCAAGCATTTGTGCTTGGTACGCCTCTTGATATAATAGAGGCAATTCATGTACCACTGCAGTTATTTCCACCACTTCTACCCTTATGTACTCCTACATATGAAACGATCACTTATTCACTCAAGAGATATTTACTCAGCACCTATTGTGTCAGGCTTAAGCCAGTGCCCAAGACCATTGCATGTGGTGCCTTCCCTAAGGAAGTATATATAGTCCAGTTTAGGTGATTTCTTTCCTCTCCCCTGATAGCCCATTTGGGTTGAGTGTCACTTGCTCAAAAAGATGCCTAAAGTGACAGAGGAAGAATTTGTCTGACTTCCTTGTTCATGCATCCATAGGATAGAGATGAATAGAACAAGACCTCAGACTTCCTAGGACTCCCTATCGTATTTCTTCATTGCTCCTTTCTGCTCTTTTTACATTATCCTCTCTGCAGATCAGCTGCCTCTGCTTCTCTGGTTCATGTACCCTCCCCTAAAACATAGCCAAAAACTTATCTGTGACTTTACATCGTATGGTCTAGGCAAACAAGGAGAGATTAGTTTAATACTTTTGTTCCCATGACTCTGAAGAAGCATAAAAACGACAAAGGTTATATTAGATCCTGAAAGCTTCACTGGCAGTAGTCGTAATGACCTGCTATTAGGCATACAGTGATGCATACACTGTAGCTCAATTTAAGGGGATTTGGGAGTCATTTTCTCCTTTAAGTCATACAGGCAGAATAAACAGCGAGCAGTAGTGGGGTAGTTTTCTTGTCTTGCCTCACTGGCTGGCATAACATTGAGAGAAGTGGAAAAAAAAAATTGTTTCCTTGATAATTTCTAAATACAAAGAAGGAGGGAAAGTTGCAATAGAAAGGCATTTTTCCATTTAATGTATCAAAACCAGTGCCCCCAAGTGCAGCTATTTGCCCATCCATCCCAAAGGAAAACCACAGTTCTAGGGACAGAGTGTATTCTTGGTCTTACTCCATGCAAATCAGCATCTGACTTGCCTACCACAGCAGGGTTCAATTAACATGACACAGTTTCACACATTTCTTCCCAGAGAAGACCATGTTCTTTGTCAATTTTTAATACTACTAAATTACTTCTAGCAAATTCATGTAATGTATTTGAAGCCTCCCAATGCATTTTTCAACACTATAAAATACAGTTAATTTTGTGAAAGGGGAATGTTGTCAAGATCTTTTAAATATCTTTCATTTATGTTAGAACCTGAAGTTCTTTAGTTATTAATACTCATTTTCCAGATGGCAATCTTTTTTTTCAACATTTCTTGTACTGCCAACTTCAACGTGATTCTATTGCATTTAGAAATTGATTTTTACTTGGGGATGATGGCGGGTGGAAGATAGTGGAAGAGAAAAGATAGGTTCCAGTGACAAGTATGTGCTTCGCCTTGCAGAGATCACAATACTTTGCAAAATGTATGTTTGTATATATTCAGTTCTTTTCTATGTATACGGAATGGCTTAGGATTCCAAAATATAATTTCTCCCTCTGCCTTTTGTTAATGGTATATAATTAAATAATGGCTAATGCTTCCTTGGTGGAAAACAGATATTTTCCTTTTTAAAAACACATGCATTACAAAGCAACTCTAGCCATGCCAAATTCTGAAAAAAATATCAGAATGGGAAAAATAGGTATTTGAGTAAGATTCAATGAGAGGTACCTTCTGGATGTGCCTGACTTATGGCTGTGGTCAAGGGGGTCACTGACATTCACAGTGTTTATATTATCACCCTGACTATTTGAGGCCAATGTGACTGGTGGAGGTATCCATTCACAGAAGATGGTTGACTTAATCACTGCTCTAGTTTGTGAAGGCAGCTGATAGTTGTAAAATTTAGTACAGGCTCTCTTCTCACTCATTTAACAAGTATTTGGCAGGATATTCTTACTTCAAGCAATGGATTGGTATTAGAAGATAGAGGTGAACAGGACAGGTACTTACAGATGCTTCCAGTCTCTGGAGAAATACTACACAAAAAGCCACATGGCTAATTACACTTATGGAATGTGCTG